AGGCCTATTAAGTGAGAATTAAATCTCAGTATTCGAATTATAAACCTAGATGTTTTTGATATGTTGGGTTTTTGGACTTTATCCATCGTCCTGGTTTTTAAGATAACAAATAAAAACACGACGTTTCGGAAACTGGATCTGTTTCCGTCCTCAGGTGAAGGAAAACACGTATTCAGTTGGGACCCAACTGAATAGGTGTTTTCCTTCACCTGAGGACGGAAACAGATCCAGTTTCCGAAACGTCGTGTTTTTATTTGTTGTCTTAAAAACCAGGACGATGGATAAAGTCCAAAAACCCAACATATCAGTGTGTTATACACCATCGTCAGAATCCTATAGTAACTACTAGATGTTTTTATTTCGCTCGTCAATTGCAAAAATCTATTCTCTGAAGGATGAACTGAGAGTGAAACGTTGTAGCTTTTGAAGAGCTGCTAAACAGTCTGTGGATAGGAGGCGATGAAAGAGAAAGCACTTATCCATTGTTCTTTCCATGGAATTGCAGTAGGTTAGTATTATGTTATTCGCCTTATCCAGTTTATGTTATGGAAAAACATTACATGAAGCCATAGCCTTTACAGAATGGAGAAGGAAGTGTGCTCACTTTTAAATAGAGAACAGAGGACAATAAACAGACGTCCTTATTAAGAATTCATTTATGCCAGAGTTTTAAGTCGTTACGGGACTACATGGCGACAGTGTCGTAGCCCGTTAAAGTAGTTGTGAGTCATGTTGATGTGAATTTAACGAAGCTGATTAAGCTTCCGCGATTTCTCTAGACGAAATTCTGTGGCTGACTTATAAACAAATATTTCATGTAAAAGTCATTCATTTATCACCAAGATTTACAATTAGTCTCTCAGCATATTTTGAATTTCATTACAGGTTCTTTCCACTCAAAAACGAAAAAATAAAATCAAACTCCGGTTGTTTACAATTAATATGTTTAACATTTTTCCCTTTTTACGTAGAATGTAATGACATACCGACTCAGCTGAAGAGATAGGTCACTGTAATTGGTTTTCAAATAATTTCAAGAGGCTTCTTCGCTGCCAGATATTCCCGATAAAATTCGCTTGTTTATTACGTACATATAAATTTATGTATTTATTCGACAAGGACGCCAATGGCACTGCGACTGATGCAACAGAATTGTGCCTCTGAAAAAGAAACGAGAAAGCTGCATTAAGGATTACCGTTTCTTAAGTTCTCAATCTTCCGGTATTCTAAAGAGCACAATATTTCGGAAACTGGATGTTTCAGTCCTCAAGCAAAAGTTTTGGAGGTACCTACTCCGTTGGATTCGTTAGAGTGAGCTAACCACAATCACTGGACAACAAATGTGAGTCTATTAATCGGTCGGCTGGTCGTGTAAATTTTGTTGATACTCGGCAGTACAGTCATTCTTGGTTCCGAGTTAAGCGCGACTGATACCAATATATTACTATCTCACGACTTTCGGAGACCAACCTACGTCCATATAACTACAGTTTTGTTATTGCTAGTGGGGTGGGACTAAGTTCCTTGTACTGCGGTCACTTCTGGCCTATTGTACCAGCCCCAGAGGGTGAGGGTGATTGTGGAGCAATTGGTGGAATGAAGATTGGCAGGGGAAACCGAAGTACTCGGATAAAACCTGCCCCAGCGCCACTTTGTCCACCATAAATCCCACTTGACCAGACCCGGGATCGAACCCGGGCCGCCACGGTAGGAAGCCAGCGACTAACCACTTGAGCTATGGTGCAGCCATTATAAGTAGAGTTACACCTATATACATATACATGAGATCAGAGTTTGTCAAAGGATGATAACAGGGAACTATAAAATACAGATCGTGCTGATGCATGTACAGACCTGAAACTGAGATATGAGAGGAAGTGGAATATAAATGCAACAAAATAAAGCAATAAACCGAATCCGTAAACATCAATGCATCGGAATAATTTGAAGACATACAAGTATACCTACTGTTAGCAGCATCTGTGGGTTATCATCAGAATATTTTAGAATCTAATTGTAGCACTAGGGTACAAAAAAATATATTTCGTGACTAGCTGATTGTCTCATGGTGCGTATTTCATCTTGAGAAGCTGATAGTCACGTGGCTGGTCAAGAATTTATCCGCATTTATGAAACCCGAAGATCCACTACTGTCTTCATAAAATTCCGCTAACGATCAGAATTTTAAGCGAGATGAATCAGGTCCACACTTTCATATACCATTTATGTGATATATTGAGTGATTCGATTGTTAGCAGATGGTTTTTCTTTTTTCAATGGATTGCATCCGAAATATTTAACGTGTATTCATTCCACGCCCAAATTCCTATTTGAGTAATGTCTGATTACACCAATATTTTTGCCAGTTTTTCTTTTTAATTTGAAACTACTACGCAACAGACCCACGTGACGACACATCTCCGCGTGTGCTGTTATAGAATCCGCTAAACCAACAGCGTCACAGCATCTCTATGCAGAGATGACGGGGGTTTCCCTAAAGATTGATAGGTATCTAAAGTAGGTCACATATCTCTGAAAATTTAATATTTTCAACCTCCTTTATACCGAAGTAATATCTATGAGCTTTCACGACAGAAAGGGATGACAAAATTAAATATATATATTTCCCTCACAGCCTTAAATACACAGCTGAAATATATCAAGCACGTACTTTACCGAGTATTACCTTAACAATATATTCTAATGACATTTATTACACCTATCGTTTTCGTGGTTGTAGCGTGAACTCTTTTCCTAAAGCAGTAATTCCCAAAATGTGCTCCTGCCAAAAATTGTTCCAAGAAGCTCGACTGAGGTGTTCCGCAAATGAATTCGAAAAACTGCGGTCTTCCCCCAATTAAAAAAAGTAAATACTTTCCTCAATTTTGCTTGTATCTTCCAGTCTATATTTTAATCAGTCTCCACGGCGTCAAATTCAATAACGATTGCTTTTGCTATTATTTCATGGTTGTGATGTGGTCTCTTAACTAAATCAGTGCTTTACAAACTGTTTTTTTCCTTTGAATTCTTTTTCAGACTGAAATTATTCATGGAATCCCACCGCTTTGGGTCTGGTAATGTAATATAATAAAGAAGTTCTGGGAAGAAGTAATAGACTACTTTCCTTTGATAAAACACGAACCGCATGGAAAACGACGCCTCCAAATAGCCGGGGGAAAGTCTTTACTGAGTTCTTACATAGCAACAGTAGGGGAATACACAAACCCATAGTCAAAAGCGTACAACAATTCGTCTGTTGTTGTGTGTATTCTTTGCAGCGGGAATAAGTTTACCGAGCCGTTACCCAACAACGAAAGGAGGGATACGCTTCATCGGGCCTTTGCCTAGTAACGATAGGAGATATTCACAAACAGAGAGAGAGACTGATGGGAAGGATTTATGAAGCGCGTTGTTGAAATGGGCTCAGGTACCATGTTATACATACCGAATTTCATAAAGATTCTTTCAAGCATTCAAAAGTTAATACGATGGGATTCACAGACACGCTGACAGCGTGGAGACAGCATAAGCCTACTTCAGGAAAGTAGGTTAATAAACTGTATAATATAAACACATAGTTTTTATTTTGTTTGTGGGAAAATAAAATAACATTAAAACGTGTTTAATCAGTCAGTAAGACAGCAGAGATTATTGCATGTTAATTTCTCATTGTGACGGATGGCTTTGTATTGACGGGAACATTAATTTAAATCTTGTACAGTGGGTGACTGTTGCAATCTGAGATATCTCTCAGTGCTCAGCCCTCAGCTTATTTCCCCATTTACATTTTATTGTACTACATGTATATAGCCAAAATACAAACCCACAAAGGTACGTGACCGAAAGCGGTGGCAGTCTGCTAACAACAGGCTTCGAGATCTCAGGACATATTTCACTTAAGCTGACCCAAAAACTTGAAAAAGAAACAGTGGGAAACGTTTTCTCTAAAACCAAATCGCAATGTCTGTCAACTGCTCATATTCCTTGATTGAGAAGTTTTCAGTCTGAAATGAAAAAGAAAAAACTGAACGAATTTCTCAACCAATTATTGTCATTACTGTTTCGTGGAAAATATTCTTCAAAACGAGTTTTGTAAATGTCTTGAAATACTCAGCTACGTCTATTTTCTAATACGGCTTCAACCAGTTCTTCAAAATAGTCACTAATGTCGTAGAAACAATCGCATTTATTTCGTTTTACACGTTGCAACCAAGATTTAGGTTTTAATCTTTAGTCTCAGCTGTAAGCACAGTTTGGCTATGGTCCTTCTTTGACAGGCTGAACTCGTTCAACTAGCGAACATCAGGGAAGTACGCCAGTTTCTCCTGCCAAGAAGCATCTGAGAAATAGTTGACTAATGGCGTTTTTTTTTTCAAACAAAAAAATTGCATTATCTTCGCTCAGTTGAAGTACCCTCATCAGAAGCTTTAGCACGAGACAGTGAACGAACTTCGGTATGAAAAATTGAAGTTTCTTCTTGATTGCACATGTCTTAAAAAATCTGGGATTTAACTTTCAATCTGTTTTTGTTATGTCACTTGAACCCCTTCGAATCTGATCCTCTCAAATAAAAGAAAATATGCGCGTGCGCATGAGCATGTGTGCGAGTGTGTGAGTCGCAATTAAAGACATTTACATCTAAGCAGTTGTGTTCCCCCCTTCCTTGGCACTACAGCCCCAGTGGGCCTAGGCCTACATCCATGAACTTCTCTGTTCACTTCGGTTTTTCTAGAACTTACACATTCGGTAGGACTCCCTGAGCGGGTGATCAGCTCGTCGCAAGGCCTCTACCTGTATACAAACACAGAAAAACACACACACAAACTAAACATCCATGCCCTGAGTGGGATTCGAACCCACGATCCCGGTTTCCAAACGAGCGAAGACAGTACATGCCTTAGACCGCTCGGCTACCGTGACCGGCAAGCAGTTGTGTTAGTATTTCAGATTTCAGCCGCCCCGCAGTAGAAGCAATTAAATATATCACTAGATCACTAGACTAGTGTGTGTACTGCCCTCTAATAATAATAACAATCCGACTCATAGATCTGTGATGTTATGTTATTGTGCATTCAAGATGTAAGCATACTACAAACATTATGTAAATTTTCATGGGTAAGCTATTGCTGTCTTGAATAACATGACTTTCGATTGTATTTCTTAAGCATCTGATGTACTTGTGATTACTGTGTGGGGCACTGAAGAAGCGTTCGTGTAAGCTACTGTTTCATTGCGCTGTATTCAATCAAAACAGAGGCTGCTGACTTAACCCATAAAAGCCAGACGCAAAGCAAAGCATCAGTAGAAGTAAAAAGTAAAGCTATCCCTGTACCAGGCCGTGAAGGCCCATAGGGTTGTGAGACGTTGAGGGTCCCACATCATCTAGACAATCGGCTCAAAGACGGTGGTAAGGTTGTCAGCCTCATGCGCCGGCCGCGCTTTAGTCCCCAGGAAAATTATTTAATTAATTCCTGGTACTCATATCTGTTAGAGGCTGAGTAAACCCCAGGGCCTAATGCGGCTGGAAGGATTAGGTCAACTGAAAAAAACGCAATGACCTCATCGGCACTTGAACCCGCGACCTTCCTGCTTGTAGCATAGCCCCTGAACCAACTACGCTACCGTATGATCGTAAAAATTTAAAACGATGCCAATGGCAGAATAATAAATATATAAGAGACTGTTCAGTTCAGGCGACTCATCAGACACTTTGCCCTTTGTTACCAAAACCACATTACCATAGTAGAGTAATGGGTACACTAGACCATAATAAATAAAGTTCAGTGCACCTGGGTCATCCAAATTTGATAATTTCCTATTGTAAATAAGCTAGAACTACTTTTATTACAAATTTTATCCATATTCATCTCCACTCTTCTCTAGCTTGGGTATAGTGGTTCTTTGCTTCAGTTGAAACAGTAAAAACTATCAGTTAAGCAAGTTAGTGGTGTACAAATTATTTGGCTCAAAATACCATGCAACCTAGCCTATGTTAACAGCAGTAGCCCTTTCAAGCTCTTCCAAGTTCATCTCAACACTGAGAACAGAAGTATCGTAACCATACATAAACTGAAGTAGGATGTGATGACACAGCAAAAGCTTCAAGATACCCTTCCCAGCATGCTGACCTAGGGGACTCATGGCCTTCCTAGTGAAGAGAGGCACTACATAAAAGCTTGCCAATATGTCCTGTGGTCTGGCATGAAGAAAACTCAATGTGCAATCAAAGACTGCCATGTTCTTCATGAGATGTGGAGAGCTGCCAACATGAGAGCCAAGTACTCCCACCAGATGTTTGGTCACGTAGTAGGTAGGGGCCCCATTGGTGTTCACAGTAGGCTTCTAGGAAACGCCCCACCCATGGATTTCAGGAGCCTGTAAAGCTGTGGAGGCCTTAAAGCTTACAGTTCAAGTTGGTGGGAGATCTCACCAGAAAATGAAGCTATCTTCAAGAGTAGAATTGTCTTTTGCTCCTCAGAGTCAGTTGAGTATCCCCAACTTGCTTATTAATTAGAGGTGGTTAAGGTTTATTTCAAAGTACTCTCTGTTGGCACATCCCTAATAACAGTGAGGAAAAAACCACAACAAACCTTAGTCAAAGTAGCCAGCAGCACAGTCCAAGTTTCAAATTGTTTATTCCCAAATTCACGTCTAAGAGAATTACTGCTGTACCAACATCCTCAGCTTCTGAATTCATTGCTGATAAAAGAGCCCACACTTTGCTGTGAAGCACATCTGTATTTATTTTATGTACGTTCATTTTAAAAATCTACTTCTACATCTAAATGCTTTCACACTTCTCTCTAATTGATTTCTCTTATCCTAAATTCATGCAAGTGTTGGGTCAGTTTTCTTAAGGTTCCACCTGGTCAGCCCTCTCACATATCTGGAGTGGAAGGGTCTACTCAAGAAGGTGTACATACTTTCTAAAATGTGATCATTAATTTGCTTATAGGATCTAAAAGTTGTGACTATGGTACATTAGTGACAAAATTAAAATAATGTGGTTCATAAAAAGTTCAGACAGTGCTCAGCCAACAGCTGATAGTTGAAACATGTTCAAAGACAAACAATGTTTGTCCTGAGTCAGACACTGTCAAAACTGAAATACAGTCCATACAGGGTAGCAACAGTGTACAAGGAACAAATTTTGGGCAAAACAGTAACACTTCAAAAGAAAGAAATTGTATAAGGCTCCCAACAAAAACATACAACCATATAAAAGAACTGTAGGATAAAGAAAAATCAACGAAATATATAATGCATGTTAAAAATAACTTTGCCACAAAAAGAAATATTGATACATTACTAATAGTTATCAACTAAATTACTGCCCTTTTGGTGGCAATTGTCAAATATATACACCAATGACTGAATTAGATATCATAAAATTCTTCTTCGGTATACAGTTCAGTATGCTAACATTGTAAACTGTGGCATAATCTAAAGAGCAGCATTTTTGTACAGTGTTATAGAAGTATTTCAAATTATTCGAGCAACCAGCACTTTCCAAAAAGTGTGACAGTCAGAAATGGAACATCAGTTCCTAGCATTGTCACCATTAAAAAATTGCTGATTTTAAAAATTACATCTAAATGCCATCACATATAGCATGAAGCTTTGCCAGTCATCTGTATATGTAGCAGTATATTCAGTGTACACTCATCCTATGGGCTAATGGGAGAGAGAGGAAATATGGAAAACAAGTCACAAAATATGTACAGCATGACAGTACTGACATGTATGCTGTTTCATTATATCAAAAATTGGAGGGCTTATGAATAAAGTGCACTTAGCATAAAATGTGCTTAATTCCTCTTTACAACATCTGTTATAAAAATTGTTTATCTCTGATAAGCGAGTTAAGCTTGGGATGCCCACAGAAACATGTAGATCTTCATGTAGGCCATCTGTTATTGTCATGTTTTAATCAAAACTGAAAAGTGTTGACAAATTTTTGTTTAACTTCCCAATACTAAACTTAATGAAAATCTGTTCACCTGTTCTCAAGTTATTTCATACTCACAGCTGAATATGTCATTGCTTTAATGAATGCTCTGCAGGAATTTGGACATGCCTAAACCCCAGCAATAATCCAGTTACCTGTAACATTATACACCAGCAATTACAGGTATAATTCCTACAGTGAATGGGAGGACTGTTTAGTTTCTACTTTTGCAAATTCATTTCAACACCAGGCAAAAGAAGCTGAAGGATGTCAATAAGCAGGTTGGAACTAAACAGAGAGAGATCTCAGTTCACAGGTATTTGTGAAATTTTATGATATAAGCTATGACTTCAAGAAATAAATTTTGCATTTCTGTTTGGACTTGATATTAATTTATTACCAATATGACTCTGCTGTTACAAAGCAAATTAACTTCTGATATCACAAAGCAGAGAGATGGAAATATTTTTACTTGTATTTTATTAAACATTCATCATTAAAGTAATTCAGATAAAAGCTGTAGATAATAATAAGATGTATATTTTATGTCGCTCAGTACAGTATGATGAGCCAGGTGTGGGAAATTTTATAAAGTTATATTCTGGTTTTGTGTAAGGTAGGGGTTATGCTGACTGGTACCCACTGAAATTGAATTCACTGGACAATTCTAATATGTATCTGTAGTAATAAATTTATCCAAATCCCTCAAGCAGTTCCAAACATGAAATACAATTTCTCTGTTATGCATTCATTTCATGCATTCTATGCAACAAAACAGGATAGTATGTGCATTGATAATATGAAAACCAAATAATTTTCACATTGACAATAGCAATTTTGAATGTGTACATGCAAACTGAGCAATTCCGCATAATACGAAGCATAAAATAGCTCTCCTCCCCATTTGTGCGATTAACGAGGTACAGAGTACCTTAAGCTGAGACCTCAACATTTAAACACAAAACACTGCGTATCAGCTTCCTCTTTTTATTTAATGTATTAAATCCCTACAACTTCCATAGAGAAATCCATTACAGAAGTGCAACTGGTCATAAATTGTGTATATTAGACAGATACATCTAGTGTAGCAGTCAATTTAAACGACTCTTAGGTGACAATGGAAATGCAGTATTGTTGTAATGTGACATGGCATTTGATGTTTAATGAGTCTGTGAGTATTGAGACTGTATAGTATTCAAAATAGGATGATTAGTGAATACTGAGAATTTGGTGAAATGAGAACTGGCAGGTGAAACTGAATTACGCACAGGAATTCTCCCCCCCCCCTCAACTTGTTTGCCACAAATCCCATGTGACCTGGCTTAGGATTGAACTCAGGCTACTGCAGTCGGAAACCAACAACTAACTGCCTGAGCTGTGACACTTTCCAGATTATTATACTGGCAGAATTAATACGTATGAAGAAAGACAGCAACATTGTGAATTTTATTAAAGAGATATCTGAGTAGCCAGTGGAAGTGATAGTGATACATAAGCTACTTTATTTAGATACAGTGAGTAAGACACTTTTTTCCAGTGTGCAAGTCTTACTGTTGGATAGACTGAAAGTAGTGTATTGTTTAATTTAATCAAGAAAACTGCAGGATAGTGTAGGTAAAATATTTCATTACCAGTGTTGTGATAAGAAAGAAATCGATTGATTAAAGATGTCCAGAATAAAAATAAAAGAGAAAAAGAACTTTCTGGTCTACAACAATGGCTGCCTTCTTTACTGACTTCGTAATTTCTGAAGTGGCTTCAAAATACAGAGGATCTGATTATTGTTTCTACATACACTTTCCTCTTACATACACAGTCATGATCCACATCAATGGTAAAGACATAATCTGGCCAATAGCAACCATGACTCTTTTCTAGAATAAAAAATTCCATGTTTTCACAAAAGCTCATGTTACATGACATCAGAGTTTACTTACGGGGTTTATGCACAGAACAGCAGTGGTAAAAGAAAAGAAATTCATGGGAATATAGAAGATTATGTTATTTTAGAATAGATTATTATGCAGTAACCATGATATTGAGAGGCCAGTAAAATTAATTTGAAGTTTTACCTTCTCACACTGGGCTTATAATGAATCAAATATAATTTCTTCACCATACATGTCAAATTCATATACACTGATGGTTAAATTTCATAATTTTATATTGTGGCTATGGCCCTAGGATCAACTCAGCCTCTAATAGATATTTTTTGTATTTTTTCTTAAATAGCAATCAGAATTACAGTTTTCTATAAGCTATTGTATAACATTGGGCTAATAAGCCCACCTATGGCAGGATGAGGATCCTTCCACCGAAGGAGCCTCTGTTCTAATAGATATGAATGCCAAGAATCTTCCTGGGGTTAAAGGGTGGGCAGTTTGTAAGACTGATAGCCTCACTGCCACATGTGAGCTGATTGTCTAGAAAATGTAGGAGCCTCAACATCTCACAACTCTATGGGCCTGCACGGTTTGCTAACAGTGATAGCTTTACCTTCCTTATATATTGTTGACCTTGCCCCATCATTAGAAGTGTCTGAGAAGATACTGAAAATTGAATGACACTGAAGTAATTGTAACCGTCATACTCAATTTAAAATGAGTTAATAATTTATCTTTATTGTTTGCAGCCTGTTGTGTATTATATACAGTATTATTATATCAATCAGCACAACAAAGTTATTGTGATGAAATTAGTTTATATTTATATTTTTGTATATCACCTGTAATATAAACTGTAAAGTTCACCATACACGATATGAATCAATAAGTTACTTACCATTTCTTAACTTCACCACTGATAATGGTTCAAATCCTATCTAACAAATAGAAAACAAAAGGTTGAAATAAAATCGTGTAAACACAGTCAGAATTTTTTCTCAGACTGGAGAACAATAAAACATGGAGTTCCCCAAGGATCCATCCTGGGACCCTTGCTTTTCATAATATATATAAATGACCTTCCACCAATAGTAAATATCTCATCAGAACCCATAATATTTGCTGATGATACAAGTGTCATAATTTCTAGTAAAAATTTTGATGATTTCTGTGCAATGTCTAACAGAGCACTCTCTCACATGAATAAATGGTTCAATGCAAACAGACTTGCCCTAAATCTTGATAAAACGGAAGTAATGAAATTTACAACAAAAAATACTCCTCAGTATGTTTTAAATACTGAATATAATGGAAAATATATGGAAGAGTTAGTAAATATGAAATTCCTTGGCTTGCAAATTGATAGCCACCTAAGTTGGTCAGACCATATAGATAAGTTGATTCCTAAGCTAAATGGAGCGTGCTATGCGGTTAGGTGTATGTCTCATGTCAGCAATACTGAGACTCTCAAATCAATTTATTTTTCCTATTTCCACTCTGTAATTAAGTATGGTATAATGTTTGACTTCAACTCATCTTACAGTAAAAAGATATTCATCTTACAAAAGAAAATTGTTAGATTAATGGCTGGTGTTAAACCAAGAGACTCATGTAAAAATCTTTTTAAGAGACTAGAAATCCTAACTTTACCATGTGAATACATATTCTCCTTAATGATCTTCATTGCAAAAAACCAAGAATTCTTTCCAACTAATTCTACTATTCACACTGGCAACACAAGAAATAAAAATCAGCTTCATAGACCAATTGCCAGCCTCCAATGTTTCCAGAAGAGTGCATATTATGCTGGCATTAAAATCTTCAACAGTCTACCATCAAATATTATAGCTCTTATAGATAAACAGGCACAATTTAAAGCAGCGCTAAAGAGATACTTAATTACACATTCATTTTACTCTGTTGAGGAATTTATGCTTTCAAATAACCTAAAGTGTATGTAATGTATGGATTTTATTGACACTTCACTACTTTTGTGAACCTTTTACTACTATTGTGACTTTGCTTTCATTGATAAATTTTTTGCAATAGTTTGATTTGTTCATGTATATGTATTGTATGATTTTTTGACTAATTCCACATCTTATGGTCTTTCTGACTAACATAAGGATCTATTGAATGCTATATATATGTATGTACATATGTAGTATTATACATCGAATGGCACAAAAGTAATAACTGCTTTATATTCAGTAAGAAAGTTTTAGTAATGCAGTTTTCATGTGATACAATTTGACACGTGCTGAAACACAGAGACATGCAGCACAGTTATCACAGTTATAAATTGACCCTGAGGCTCTGCCTTGATTATTTGTACATCTTTGTGGGTGATTCTTAATAGACTAGTAACCTCCATTTTACAGATGCAGGTCTAGCAAGTAACACAATACTTTGAATATAGTGGATTACATTTTTATATGCCAAAATCAAGGGCTTTTAGAACAATGTCATAAAGTAAGAAAAATAATCAATTTTTCATGCTAACCAAAGATCATACAGTAACCATGAATCTTGAATATATACTGCGCTCTGTGGTTTTGATTGCAACTGCCAGAACAGAAAGGTTAACCATATCAGTAACATGCAGGAGACTCATAACACTCACAAATAACATTTACTTCTTTTTAAGTAAAATTACATTCATTAATATTGTGAAAAATATTGTAATTTTCCTAATGTCTGTTAAGAATATTTGTGTCTTCATGCAAGGACTGCTGAAAATGGTAGTTTCAGTATTTTTTATGGTCCCATCTGGACAACATATTTTGACTGGCATGGTATATGTGATTTGTATCTCCAGTACATCTAAACCTATATTTATTGGCACAACTACACAGTGCTGTGTCATCAGCAAATAAAAATTCATGACAAGATAGAGGTTGTGATAAAATATTAAAAAAATAGTTTTATGTCATGCTGCTCCTGAAAATCTAATTGAAATCATTTTTTATCCTTGAAAGTGTTGCCCAGGAAGCCTTATTTTACTCTATATTTTTACATATTAAACTCTATTAGGCATTCTACTCAAATATGAAGGAATATAATGAGCAGTAAGTGTTTCAGGTGGAACTGTAGACACTCACTGTATTAAAGAAAATGCACCATAGATTACTGAACAGAGAAATCCATGTGATTAATTTCAGAAACTTGCTTGAATGACAAAGAATACATCCCTGGACCACTAACTTTAAAACTGGCACTTTTAGTCCCAACAAGAATTCATGAGACAATAGCACCTGCACACCAGTGGCTGTCAAAGTGTGGTTCTTAACTGTTACATGAGCTTTATCTGTATGGTAGGGTACAAGGGATAGTCAGTAAATAGTTCACTACTGGAAGTAAAAGAGCTGCAATGGACATAATGAGTTCATTATGTGTTTACAGTATTATATTTAAGCATCCTGTTGCACTCTATACGATAAATGATATAATGATACAAATTCTGTCCCAAGTGCAAACAATATATTATGTGTCCTTGATCTTGTTCACCCACACTACATGTTTCGGCCTCAGACGGCCATCATCAGGTGTATAACACTCACATCGTTGTCACACTGCACTCAGCCCAAAATTTAACATTTAAAACACTTTCCTTGTTATTATCAACATCTACTTCGTTGATATCTGTCTGGATGTAGATCACTTTACACACGTTAATTCTGACGTACCTGTAGTAGCACTACAGAACTAAAGATTCTGTAGTGCTACTACAGGTACGTCAGAATTAACGTGTGTAAAGTGATCTACATCCAGACAGATATCAACGAAGTAGATGTTGATAATAACAAGGAAAGTGTTTTAAATGTTAAATTTTGGGCTGAGTGCAGTGTGACAATGACATGAGTGTTATACACCTGATGATGGCCGTCTGAGGCCGAAACATGTAGTGTGGGTGAACAAGATCAAGGACACATAATATATTGTTTGCACTTGGGACGGAATTTGTATCATTATATCATTTATCATTATGTGTATCACTAGGTAGCAGCACAGTTCAGCCTCATGGCAGTCTAGGTAGCAGACATGCATGAGCATTTCACAGGCTGGCTTCAGTAGTCAAATTGGTGACCATGCTTGAGGCATATAGTACCGAAGGACCTTCAAAGGTCGCAAATGATGCCTGACCAGGTCACTCAGTTGAGATTCCTACAGAAGCAACTGTGCAGTGGGTGTAAGAGTTGTTTAAAACTGACAGGAGGATAAAAATAAGCAGTGTGGCAACTGCACAAGGGTGTTCCCAAGGTTTAGCATACAGCAAAATGCATGTTTGTTTGAAGTTTTGGAAAATGTTTGTATGGTAGCTGCCAAGGCAACTGAGGGAAGGATCCAAAAAAAAATCAAATGTGTCTGTCTTTCAGCATCTCTTACTTTATGCAGATGTAGGAGAAGATATGCTTAACCCCAGTGCTTCAATGCAATGGAAACATTCCAGTTCACTTTCAACCAAAAAGTTTCTGCTCATGCCATCAGCTGGGAAGTTTATGCTTACCATGTTATGGAATTCTCAGGAAGTACTGTTAGCCCATTTTAAGAAGCATGGTGAAAACTTGAATTCTGCATTATACTGTGAAGTTCTGTTGAAGCTTCATGATACAATTTGCAGAAAATGTTCAGGCCAACTGGCAAGAGGGGTACTGTTTCATCATGACAATGCCAAACCCCACACATCTCGAACAACCCAGGAAAGATTTCAAGAACTACAGTGGGAAATTCTTGAATATCTGTCTTACAGCCTGGATTTTGATCTTAATGACTTTCATCTATTTAGTCTGCTAAGAAACCAGCTTAGTGGCAAATGTTTTGCTGATGATAGAGAGTTTGAAATGGAGGTATTAATACACATTATACATAACATTTTTATTTGGAGTGAGAAACTATTTCTGTTTTCCAACATTGTCTTGAAATAACTTTGGAGGCAATTAGAGATAAGATTGCATATTTTTGCAAAAAATAACATTATGTAGCATTAGGTCACTGAACACAAGCCAAGTACTTGGCCATATAGATGAACATAGAGTTAAAACTTAGTAATCAGCATGGACTTGACCATATAATATTTCAGTGTTTCCAGCTAGCACATGAGTCATTCTTTAATTTCTCCCAGTTGCTAAATATTACTTCCTTTATAATACTGCACCAACAGTTCTTGCTACTACAAGAGTACCACAAAACTTGCTACCAATAATTCTGTTCCTTGAATAATGAATTGGTTAGGACACTTGAAAAATGACAGAAGAGAAATCAGTGAGAAGTCAATGATGGTTAATTCACAGATTTATGGAAAAATATACCTCCATCGCTCCGTATATTTTTATTTTGTCATTGTCATCATTGCTGTCTCCTTTGTTTCTTCACAGATGAAGGCTTACAACTTGATTTGTTCTCAACTGACCACACTCACACTCCTTGATACTATGTTGCATGTCACTGACTAGGATGTTTATTGTTAGTCTTCATCTCTGACAATATACGTGGTACAAAAGGAATCCATGTTCCGTTATCCACCCATTTAATCTCAAAATTGTGGAATGAGAGATTATATGTCATATTTTATTTCTATTTCAAGGTTGTATTAATGTCTCAGAGCAATTCATTGGACCACTCTTGAGAAACTGAACCTCCAGTGAATCTTCAATACAAAGGCAATAAATTACAGTAATGTTTGTTTGCTTGCAGGCTGGGGAGAATATTTGAAGGCATAAGAATAGTTTCACATTGGAAAGGATATGTGTGACATTGACTGAGGTGTTGTGACCCAAGAATTCAAATTTTTACAAGAACATAGTAATGTAGAGTAATGATTTAATTTAAAACATATATCTTGCATGAGACAATACTACAACTACTGTTGTATGTAAACACTTCAACTGTGTGACTATACAAAGAGATTAATGATATATTCTTTGCTTATAGTTGCTCAACTGGAACATTTGTATGCAATGTTATAAATATAAACTAATACATATAAATATAGTAATAATATGCTACTAATGGCACAGTGCCTATTTCTAGCAATGTATAAGTAACTGCAATGCATCACTAGCAGCACAAGTAACTGTCAATAATGGCAGAGAGCATTTGTGTAGAAATACAGAAAGTTTATACGTTCTCCCCATTGTCTTTCATTGTCTTTCTGTGAAGCATAATGTCATAGAAAGAAAACTCTTACTAGCATCTGGAGTAATTTGTGCAGCAAACATTGTGAAACCTCCATTTAACCTAATGCTAGTGTCACCACAAACTTTAAAATACACAATAAAATGCATATGTTTAGTACTGATGTGAAGTTGTTACTGCTCAACAGTAGTTTTATGATTCAACAGTAGAGGTCTCTGCATAGCAGTTCTATGAAGTGGTACCATCTAATGTTAGGCACTGCATTTACTATGCATAAATTTTTATTCTGTCTCTCTCTGATGATGAATGCCCCACACTCCTCAATTTCAAATATCTCAGGATGAAACATGAGTCAGGAATCAAGGAGAAGTCAGATATTGTTCTAAAAATAAGTTTGCTATGCACTTGAATCAGATTGTCAGTTTATTTCACAGTATGGTCATTTTGGAGTGGAAATCCTAGCCAGGTACAAGTAGTGGCATTAATTGATATTGCTGATATGTTAATTCAAACAACATCACTGATATAAAAAATGACACAGATTCTGATGAATTTGAAATTGCAGATGACCATAAGAATATTGAAGAGCCTCAGCACATACCAGAAGACACTGAAAATCGTGAAAATCATACAAATATTGTTGATGAGGAAGACAAGGAAACTCCATCTTGTCCAATGCAGTCAGAAAGAGGGCAAAACCTGGAGCATGCAGCAACTAGTTATGGAATTAGGATGGAGACAAAATATAGCTCCAGTAAACAGTCATGCATTATTTAGACTCCATGGAATAATTTCTAACTCTGGATTCACAGGAGGTAGTACTCCTTTCGAATTATTAGCCTTTTTTCATGATGAAATTTTAAACTATTCACAATGAAACACCGAGATATGCAAAGCAGAAAGCCCACCAAAAGAAACATGAAGACCTATCAAAACTAAAATCTACGTTTGCTCATTAAAAGCTGTAACTTCATAGGAAGTGAAACTGTTTTTGCCAAGAGTTGTGCCTGTGTGTTGGGCAAAAATCCTACCTACAGGACTGTTGGAGAACGGATCCAGCCATAAAAACTAATTATGTCAAGTCAACTGGCATGTCACATGATAGACCCATGATTATTTTAGCAATGCTTTATGCAAATAAATATGAAAACCCATGGGCTGAAGAGGTTATGATCCTTGTGAAATATGTTTCCTATTTTCAGTGAACTAGCAAAAAATTTCGAAGAAGTGTAACACACTAGAGAAAATCCTGACAGTAGATGAGGACATCTGTGTATTTTAAGGGTCATGTATGTCATAGTATATACAAAATATAGTATTGTGAAGAAAGAAGTGATTGTGGGTATAACATGGGTATGTATACAGGCGCACAACCCACACAACCTGACCATAACAGTTCTTTCAGTCTGGTGGACAACACCTGTGACCCATGAAAAATAAGTATTACATCATACACATGGACCAGTGGTTCACAAATTCAATACATTTGACCACTTATGTGTACTGAGTACAAAGTTGTGGGAACTGTAATGGCAAACAAAAAATTAATGATAAACTAAGCGTTTTCAAGAATATTATATTTAAGCATCCTGTTACACTCACACAATATATGAGACAACTCCGTCTTAAGCGCAACAATTTAATTGTAGTTCTTCCTTCTTAAACTACGGGCAGTGTAGCAACTACGTAAGAATATACACCTGATGATGGCTATTTAGGGCCGAAACATGTAGTCTGGAGGAAGGAAAGAAAGAAGAACTACAATTAAAATTCTTGCACTTAACACTGAGTTGTCTCATATATTGTTTTCAAGAAAATTGAGAAAAGGTGAATAACTGTCTGTATGAAGACACAACTTCTTACAGTAAATGGTGTGATATGAGATGTGTTTTCTTACTGAGCACTTTCCATGATGAGAGGATGGCTGGGGCAAACTTATGGCAGTAATAAAATACAATAAAGATGAAATTGGTATGGACAAATCCAACCAGTTGCTAGCTTATTAATTTTTTTTCAAAAATGGTCAGTGAATTGGTGGAGGAAATTTCCTTCCACTTCTTTTGCTTTCTCTTATGAATACTAATATTTCACACCAGAAGATTTATATGTAAATAGAAGTTTCTGAGTTTTAGAAGCTTGAGTCTGTTTCAGGCAAAGATTCCCTGAATTTTACAAATTTTACATTCCAAGATCTGGTTTCTATTGAGAATATCCTAAATTTAGGCATTTCTTCCCTAGTAAAGAGTCACTAATTCTGTACACTTCTTTCCAGTCATTCATGTATTGTGGTGTTGTGTAGTGGATAGGCAAGTCATCCCCAGCAAAACTGCTTTAGGAGTTGAATTGTGACACGAGTGTTTTAGGGCAAGAGTTTACATGGAGAATGATTATTTTCTCAGGGTGAAAACCAGGGCACTTACTCAGAATGGCTCCATTAAGTGCTTAATATTGTGCAATAATGATATGCAGGAATTTGAAGGAAGAAAATATCCTTTGCATATCTAAATCCTGTCAAAATCTGTCTGCATTATGCAAGATCTTGAACTTCTTTTTCACAAAAAATGTGTGTATCCATTGCACCAGCGTTGTCTTTAATGTCAACATGAAATAATGAGACCATGTTTCATCACTGGTAATAGTGCAACTAAGGAATTGTGAACATGGATGCAGTAGCTACTCAGTGTATTGGAATGATGCATGGAGTTCATAAATTGATACTGTGTCTTGACTAATGAGCTCTGTAGGAACCACCTATCAACTTTGGCAGCAGAAAACATGCTGCATTTTCAAAAGTTCTTAAAAATTGAGATGTGTATTTTATGCTGTATACATCATTTTATGAATTATCTTTTATAAATTTGGTAAAGTTTAATTAGTACTGTTTGTAAAGTAGGGGTTATATATGGTAGGTATTCAAGAAAATTGAATCTGCCTTAATATTTTAGGATAGGCCCTCCCAGTACCAATTTTTTTTTAATCTGGTAAATAATACCAAAGATAAAACGTATGGATGAACAGATTTTACATGCCCATCTGATACACTGTTTGTAAAGAATACAAGCATTTCTTGTTATATGTGAGATCAAAAAATGTGACTTCATTTTAATGAGGTGAGTTAATTTAGACCAGTTTCCATTAATAGTACTCATGAATTGCTTACTGGCCAATCAAGAGGATGAGACAATTGGCTAAAGCATAAATACAGAATTCAGTATTGCTGATTTTTGCAACCAGTTCAGTCCTTTATTCTATACTGCAATCACCTGCTTCATCAGTATTTTCAGTCACCCACTTATCCATTTAGCAAGCCCTCTAAAGTGGTTGAGGGTCCTTGTGACCAAAACATGTAATGATGAATGAGACAATAAAATTGATTAAACCATTGATATTGTGGCATGTAGACCCACTTCTAGGCAAGTACCATGAAGCAAGTAACTATGCAACACCCACTGATAAGTAAACACAAACAAGCATGTTTCCACAGCAATGAGAGAACACAGCAATAATGAGAGATATGTTTTCTGTATGCCCTGTGTTGAGATGTTTTAACCAGGTCCAGTTAGCATTTGGAGTCTTCTGAGTTACATCAGTGCTGGGGTTCAGTTGCTGTGAGCTGTTGCTGTTAGAAGCTGGCAGCTGAGGTCAGTGGCAGTTTGGGAACCCAGAGGAAATGGAACATCCACCATTGGAAGCCGCTAGCAAGCAAAGGCAGTGAAGATGTGACTAGACACTAGTGTGTGTAATAGTGAANTAAGGGGCCCAACTGAGTAGGTTAAACCTTCCCTATACACCTGAAGACGGAGACAGATCCAGTCTCCGAAACGTTGTGGTTTTTTGTCTTTTTTATATACCGGACGATGGGTGAAGTCCAAAATAAGCCAAAAGAAGTACAGTATACACCATCGTCAGAATCCTTTCAAGTCTATCTGTAAAATGTAGTCGCACAATGTATCAAAGTGTGCAATAAATGAAGTCATGAATCCAAGATCCTTCTATAGTTACTCTTACATGTGACAATACATTTTATTGATTTAATTGATTTTATTTGTATTAATTTACTTCATTTTTGTATCAGTATTCCCAGCACCTTTATCTAGAGTGATATTGTGTTAATTTTTTATTTCTTTTTTCTAAATATATACTGTCATCTAAAACCAATTTAGCAGTGCAAAATACATGTTTCTNNNTATCGTGATGCTGAGAGGGGGGAGAAAGGAGAGAAAGAATGTCCATGTTTGCATGTGCATGTGCGCATGCGCCATGACATTTATGAAAATGATTTTGCCTCAGTGATGTGGGCTTTCTGCATATGTTTCAAGGATACTGTGCCATCACATTTTATAGCAGAGTCTAGCATTTTTTAAAGCATAAATATAAATAATTTAGACTGAAATGGCATATATTATTAAAATAATATAGAGGATATGTTATACTGCACCAGACAAGCAGTTTAAGTAATAGCAAAAATGTTATAATAATTTCTGTACCATGTACTGGATATTTCCGTTGATTCTTATGGGAAAGTGATATTGACTTTTTACAATTTCAACCATTATGACTTTTACTGGACCATATATTGAGGTGTACCTATATGAGTATATAATATTTCCCAACCCTGACTAAAATTTAAGCCCAAAAGTAATCTTAATAACATTTCTTTTTAATTTTTTGGTGACGTAGAGAATGTTAAAAGAAATACCATACAATTCAAATAAAATTCTCTTTCTGCACTGCTTACATTTTAAAATTTTCAAAAATTATTGAAAGCCCTGTGCTAATGTTTATTTTAATTCATCTTCCATTTTACTCCAGATTACTATGACACGACTTCTATCCTGCCAAGTAAAGTGTTAAAATCTCTTACTAATAATAGTCTGTAAATGGTGTGAATAATTACCTTTCAGTCCATCCAACTGTCGAATACATCCCATTATTTTTGCAGCATGATGTGTGGATAAGAAGACTTCATTGTGTTCCTTTAATTTTTTATATTTCCTTTTAGGGCACAATGTTATGTATTTAAAACTAAATTAGAACATTATTAGGACTATAAAAGTAATTTTGATAAAAGGGGAAATACGTGGATGGTGAAACACTCAATGAAGTTTTCTTTGGCAGCAGAGAGTTTAACACAAAATTGAGAAATATCTGAAATGGAAGTAACGAAACACAGAGGTTATTCATTTGAGAATATTAAAGTTGAATGTTAAATAAAGAAAAAAACTTAAATTGAGGAACATTAGATGGGTCCCATTATATATTTGAAGTGTCAGAACTTATAATGAGTTCTTCCAAGTCTTCTCAGGTACTCTGGATTTGCCAGGGACTGGGTCCATGTTGCTATTCAACCTGACAAGCTTTTCTGCGTGTGAATGTTGCCAATTTCCTACTCTGTGGAAGTGGAACTAGAAGCAACAAGAATGCGAAAGTTAAAAATAAGAAAATAAATGAATGGACCAATGATATAAGGACATAAGAAGAAACCACATATGCACACAAATGGGATCAAGGCACATGATACTGGATTAGCAGTAAATGAGATGAAGTAGAGTATAGAAGGATAAACCACAAGTTACAGAGAAAATAAGGAATAAAAAATACGGAAATTTTCAGATAAATACCTTGGCCAATAAATTGACATGTGACTCAATAATATGGTAAGAGCATAATTTAAGAAATATAGTAATTTGGAATCCCAAAGATTTATCACCATTACATTAAAAGGAAAATGACAAGAAGAAGACCAGATTGAAATTGGGACAGCAGGTTAGGAAGGATATAAAGAAAAAGATAAGAACATGGCAGGAAATTTAGGAGGAGCAATTATGTGAAGGCAAAGATAGATTACAGGCTTGGTTGCTAGGCAACCCACTTAATAGCAGTAATGTCAGAGGAATAAGAACTTAACCATGACCATTTTCCTCTGAATGTTTCCATCTATATAGAGAGGTTAACAGGAATTATGAAACAGGAAGTACTTCTGTGCACAATTTCTAATTGTATACATATATTCTCTTTAACTGATAACCTGCATTTGTTTATTAGATTATCATTGTGTATTTGAGGTATGTGTGCTTATGTTATGACTGTAATGTGATAAGGAAGTCTGTGTACTTGGATCACCTGGAGTTCTGTGCTAGAAGGAAAGTACCTGGTATGATCACCCATGCTAGACAGAACAAAGGGCCAGATGGAAGATTGGCCCTGGGCATAGAGACTGGAGGTTGGGTGTGATGCCGACTGCCTCGTCTCATAAAGCAGTATGTGTTGACAAAGCTAACAATAGATACTAGATGCAAAATTTTGGGAAAAGTT